GTAACTGTATATATTTCAGGTCTCACAGCATGCAGAACTGTCCAAGGCCCTGGAGCATGGAAGGCTATAATAATCTGTTTATTTTGTTGTTGTGAGAAATGCAGTTGTTATAAGAAAGTTGGTGCCCACAGAAAATAGCCAATCATAATTTCCCTTGGTGGTCTATGATTGTATTTAAAGAATGGGCAAATTATATGATCTGTAAGTGCTTTAGACTGTGGGTCAAGGGAAGCTTATTTTAAAAGTGATATATTTAAAATGGGCTAAAGGGGAGACCCCATTAAGTAACAGAAATAAGACTATCTCCAGATTTGTGCCTCAGGGTTGTTTTGATATTGCCCTTCTAGACATAAGAGAAAAATATAAAGAGAGACTCTTTAAGACAAACACTTCATATAATTTTCAGACACAGTCTCATACTGGAGTTAACACACACATAAAAAACTAAATCCACAACCATAAACACTGTTCCAATTATCCCAGAGCATGAAACTACTTTGTCTCTGGTAGAAGATTTCAACATTCAGGATATATATATATATCACAAACGCGAGGGGTAGCCCCCCCGAATGGAAGTTTTTTCAAAGCTACGTGTTTATTTATTTTTATGAAACCGCCTTATCACCTTCGAAGTACTTTCCATTTAATATATTTGTCAAATCTTCAATTCCATTCTTGGAAACATTTTTCAAACTCATCTGTTTGCATGGCTGACAGCACCTCCCTCGTTTTTTTCTTCACCTCTTCTACATCATCAAATCGTTGTCCTTTCATGTCCCTCTTCATTTGAGCAAACAAAAAGAAGTTGTTCTGAGAGAGCTCAGGTGAGTCAGGTGCGTGGGGCAAGAGAGGCATGCTGTTTCCCCCCCCCAAAACTGGCGCACTGATGGCTGCATGAGCAGATACATTGTCATGGTGGCAAAACCAGTCACCGGTCTGCCATGAATCTGACGGTTTTTGTCACATACTGCTAAGCAGTCTTTTCAGAACCTTTAAATAGAAAGCTTGATTAATGGTCTATCCTGGTGGAATGGACTCCAGATTCACTATCCCCCTCACATCACATTTGTAGTGTGTGTGTGTGGGGGGGGCGAGGGCGGGGGGCATACCTCCTCATATTTCTTAGGGCTCCTGAGTACTTTGAGGGGCCAAAGGCCCACACACATGCCATTGGACTGGGCCTTCGGAGTATGCATGGGACATTTTTCTTCACTAAACTGGTGGTATAGACTAGCACATTGGGGCCTACTAATACCTACTTGCCACTAGCTATTGCCAATAGTGTGAGATGAAAAGCATGCATGAGATGTAAAACATTTTCCCCTTCTTTTGTAAACCTTTGGAGTTGCACCATAGGTGTGCCAGCCACATACTTCCTGTTGCTCAGTGTGATGGGAGAAGATCCTGGACACTGTCAGAGTCTACATGGCTGCAAAAGAGAAAGCAGCCGCTGGCTTTGGTCTCCTTTCATCTTTTTATTTATTTTTCCCTTTTTTGATCTTGGTTTCTTCTTTAAAATAATTTTTTTTCCGCTTTGTTTCTTCCCTTCTCCTCTTTTAAATTTCGTTTTGTTATTTTGGATTGTGTGTATCTCTCTGTCTTTTATATTGTTGTAGAAGTTATTTTTTTCTTTATTTTTTCATTGTTTCTGTTTCACCCCACCTGACAGAGACAACTGTCCCCATTTAACCTAAGCACCTCTGCACCTTCAACAGATGCACCTAGTAGACGGCTGAAGAACTTGGGGAAACACTACAAAAACAAGCTAGCAAAATAAATAAAAAATTCGACACCATACAAAAACAAGAAACCCAGTAGAAATCCAGGATGTCAATACTAAAATATTAGAAATAATACGTTGAAAGTGCAAAGTAGTAGAATTGAAGAAATGGAAGGCCAAACTAGTGAGTTTGAAGACAGTTCTCTCAATACCAAAGTAGGAGAAGTACAATCTGTTAAAAGATCATAAAAGTCCCATGAAAGCCTAATAATTATGTAAGACATTATCAGAGGAACAGTAGGTATGTGATAGAAATTGCAGAAAAGGAAGAAACAAAGGAAACAATATAGTTCAAGATCGTCTGGAAAAAAACCATCCCTATCATCATGAACAACAACAAAAATCTCACTGCCACTGAGTTGATGCCAATTCAATCTAACCTATAGGACAGCGTACAACTTTCCATGTGCGTTTCTGAGACAGTAACTCTTTACCGGGGTATAAAGTCTGTCTTTCCCTCTGAGAATGGTGATGATTTTGAACTGTTGACCTTGCATATTGCAGCCCATCACTTAAACACTGTGCTACCCAGGCTCCTAGCACTATGAAAGGGAAGGAAGTAACCATGCAAGAAGCTGAGAGAAACCTAAACATAATAGACCCCCAAAGAAAAGCACCACAGCATGATGTACTCAAACATGCCAGAATCAAAGACAGGGAAAGCATTCTAAGAGCACCTTGTGGAAAACAGTTACCTACAAAGGGGCACCATTAAGATTAAGCTCAGATTTTTCAGCAGAAACTGAAAAAGGCAATGGGATGCATACAATACCTAATAAAACACTGAATGTAGATTGATTAAATGCAGGCCTCCTACCAGACTGGATAAGAAAACATCAATATACTTCTTACAAGAAACACACCTTAGATGTATGTATGGGTTGTGAAAATTGTTGGATGAGCCCCCAATAAAATGATTTTAAAAAAAGGAAACACACCTTAAAAAGGAAACAGAGGAAAGATCTAGGAAGCAAAGCTATGGATAGAGGTATAAACATAGGTATGTACATATGTAAATACATTAATTCATAAAAGTAGAGGTATTGGCCTATGTACATATATTTATATGGC